CGATTTCTCTCTTTCTCAGTTATTCGCTCACTTACTCTCACGCATATACACGTACGCGGGTACATTATATAACATACACGCGGTTTGTCCTCTCTTGATCCGTGTGTCTACTTGTTGTGTTGTCTATCCCCCTTGGGTTTAGGTTCGGGCTCGAGTGAATCAAAATAACGAGAATGTGTCGCCGATGATCGGTGAAAACGAGCGGCACTCGCGTAACCCCGGATCTTTGGTGTTCGATCATCGGCTCAAAATATTTTGTGTATCGATGTACGCAACATTACTCGCTCGGTACAGTCTACATCTGTGTTTCTACGACTTCTGATGTGCCCGTTCAGTGACTGAAATCTTGTGATACGACCGGAAGCTCGCGGATCTGCGTATTTTAGTTTGCATTTCCTTCGCATCCATCGCCAGTGAAATTTCGAACGTTATCCGACCATGAGCGCCATACACTTTCCGCGAATTCTTATCGTTGATTTGATTTTTACCGTGAACAGAAATAGTATAGTTCCGATGTGATTCGTGGTGTTGCTCTTGGAATTGTTGACAACGGAGTGTTTACTCTGTATTGATCCGAGTCTTTAAACTAAATAAATTTATTCTTTTCTTTTTCATTGGATTATTCGTACAGTTGTTAGATTTTGTTGTTGTGCACGTGATTCGGGAAGCATTGAATTTAATTTACTTTTACTAACCAATCTCCTAACCAACAACTGGTTGCCCACCACGCCTTATATTTCTTTGTTCCACTTCTAACACGAAATTCGGGGAATCTCCAATATGTTTTCATGCTTTTACCGTTTTGTTTCGTCGAATAGTAAAATGTTGGACGTAATGAACGTAACATAATGAACAGGAAGGAAAAAGAAAAATATTAAATGTGATGTACGTTTAAGGAACCGATGAATTTTATACGAGTGGTTGAGTGAAATGTGTGAACACGAGAAAGAAGGTAATAATAATTGTAATAACTATTATCTGTATTACATTTATGCTGTAATGTCTAATGATTTACGGTGAATTAAAACGTAGTTAGTTTGTACGTCAGTTAGCCTTTTATTTCACTTTTCCTTGAACGAGTATACAGGATACAGGATGTAATTTATAAGATAATATTATTGTTATAGTCAATTTGTACAATTATTATTATTGTTTTAGTTCTTGTTATTATTGTTATTACTATTACTTTTCTTCTTATTATTGTTATTATTATCTATCGTTATAATAATTATCATTAATATTATCATTATTGTTATTTTACACAAACTTATCGCGTTATTAAAACAGACTTTGGTAAGAGAATTAGACAACAATATGTATTAAGTATTCCTTACAACACACATTCAGTTTGATGATTACATAGTATCATGTTAGACTTATAATTAATCAAATACAATTTTTAAAATATTTATAATTATTGTACTGCCCAATAAAGTCGCATATTTGTACTATCATTGTACTTCCATTTCATTTTCGAAGCTACAAAAAATAGTTTACTCCGTTTACAGTAAGTTATAAATTTCTTTCTTTTATTTTACTGTGTAATTTTAGTTGTATAAAACAGTTTACATGTATCTTAAGATGTTTATAGGGATAGTACCATAGTGGGTACAGGAAGTATTTGCAATCATAATATATGTATATGATTTATTAATTTTAATGTAAATTATTTTAGTGTAAATTATTGCAAAATTTTAACCTCAATAAGAATACCTATGTATATAAGTAGGTATTGAATAAAACGAAAAACGTAAAACCATAGTAATCCTTTTTTTGACAATTTCTGAAAATCTATCAAAATTATGAAATTTATATAATTTTTTTTATCAGTATATTCTGTGAATGTTCAAAATTTGTTAAGAACAGTACTCATATGCAACTTTTTGTACTCCCTATAGGATACTGTATTAATATTACTTGCATTGTCCTTTTCTGAGTAGTTTCAGTTAATTTAACTTTATTATTATAAATTGTTTAATTATAACATTATAAATAAGTGAAATTGCACAAGTGGATTACATTTTATTTAAAATTTTTTTTAGAAATTGTAACTTACCGAAACTACTACTGCTTTAAGGTAAAGTATTGTTATTAAACCACTTACAGAGAATAAAGATGCTTTTAAATAATTACGAGTTTTTTTATGTTTATTTATTCTATGTTTTTGTTTTTCTGCGTTTAAATGAAATATTATGTTTATGTATTGTTATTTATAGCATTGTATCACAAACAGGTTCTTTTTAATTTCTTATATTTAAATAACTTTGTCTACAGAGAAGTAAGTATATGGGTAACACTTAGAACGCAGAAATTTGTGTGTATTCCTAATATTACATACGTATTATCGATAGATTTTAGTTATACAGTATTTTTAGTTATTATTAATATGTTTGTTTACAATCTTTAGTGCTTATTATATTTTAATCAACGATTTTGTAATCGCAAACATTGTCTGGTTTCTAAACTGAACTAAATAACTAAATTAGGTTTCGAATGAGATAATTTTAATCAAGTGATCACATAAAAGATTGCCTTGTGGTTTCTGTCTTAAAAACGTGGTATGGAAATATTACAAATAAATACGATGACTCAAGTTATATCGATGTAGTTTAAATATTACCTTTATTCCATTAAAACACATTATTGCACTAACAACGTATGTAATATTTGTATACTGATATTATGTTGATACTGCGAGAATAATTATGATTTATGACTTATTTATTTTATCCAAGTTGCTAAAAAGAATCGCAGAATAGAACGTTATGCTTGAAGAACGTTTTCTTTATCTACACGTTTTGTATATTATTTGAATGTCTCAGATGTATCTTAATGTACTTGATCGACTAACTACCACAACCTTACGTTACTGTAATTTCATGTATGTAATATTTATTGTTGAAAATCTTTATCGTGGGTTTATGTGCCGATTAGATTTTCAATCTGTATTACAGTATCCATTTAGTAAGGTATGTACATTAGCTTTGTTAGCCTCAAGTTGAAGACCCTTAAAGACACCACACTAATATTAAAAGAAACTGATATACAAATATTATGTTTAATTGGAAGAATAACAATGGATGACAATCATCCACGCGGCCACTCAAAAGTTAAACGCGACCACCCGAGGCTTAAATGGCGCGAAACACAACAGTTTTACCTATGCTCAGTGAGACACGTGGAATGTACTGGTGAAAAAAAACCGTGAATAAAATATCTTGAGTACTCATGACACAGAAAATGAAACAAAGAAAGAACGACTGTTTCTCAACTTTGTTGGTAGTGTTTCGAGCTGATACTAAACAAAAGTTGATGAAATGAATTCATATTCTAAATTATATTTTTCGTGTATTTATCCAAACAAATTTTTGTACTATACATACACTATTTTCATTCATGGCACGAGTAGTTAAATAGTTTAATATGATATTCTATATAGTACTTTTCAGTTAGACTGTTATCTCATTATTTGTAGGTGTACAATGTATTTGTGTCTGCATTACAACATATCGCTCGTTTCTATCTTTATAAGCTGCATGTAGATTGAATTTTGTCGAATCTTAGTGTTACTTTATTCTTTTGTTACATCGTTTTACCGAAATATTTATGGCTCTATCTGTACGATGTCCTTGTTTTACAAAGTCAGGCAGAGAACTTCATAATCAACGTTGATATTAACGAAATAAAGCGAGGTTGTAAATATATGTACATGTACAAAAATGATGGAACAGGGCTGTCAAGCTGGGAGCTCACGAACTTCATAGTGACTTTCCCCTCACGGAGAGTTACCTTCTCCATACTTACTTTTACCTGTTTGTATTGAACATTGCATAGAGTTACTCATATGCACTGTCTCGGGCAGCTCCTAGAGCAGAGCTAGTGGGGAAAACGCTGATCCTGAGTCACTAGCATAAGGAGAGATAATTTGACATTTCTGATAGCGTAAAGTCTTAACCATGGACGATTGTGAATCTTTAAGTAAACGAATTTCAAAATGTAAAAAACATGCAAAGATATAAAAATAAATCAGATGAAAGTTAATGTATTTCTAATAAAAAGTTCGTATTATTTTCTTTATGTAATAATATATATACAAGATTATTAGTATTTTATTTATCCAGACCATTTATTTTTTATACTTGTATTAAAAAAGAATTATACTTACAAACATTAATGGGTGTGGTTACAAACGGTGAGTTTACTTTACTAGATTCTTTAAAATTGTCAAATTTTCTTTTTTCATATAATATAACTGTACTAGAATATTTCGAAAATAATGTTTAACTGCGATTTAATTGATACGCGTGCAATGAATAACTGAAGAATTACGAGCTGAGACTTTGAGGATCAGTGGAAACAACATATAGTATTACATGTTTTTATGTGTAGCGCAGAACAACTGTTCTGTACCAAAACCGAAATGATAACATATGTATTATCAGAATGAGCATATATTTTTATATAGTCAACAATAATATATACATACGCAACGTTGTTTATTCAATAATTGACACATCTTATACATTTTCCGGTATTTCTATTATTTGATTTAGTACCTTGAAGTAATATGATAAACTGTTCCGAGCTAGCATCTGTAGACGACGAGAAAA